ACACACACACACACACACACACACACACACACACACCCCCACACACACACACACACACACTGAATGGGATGGGACAGAAGCAGAAGGTGGTTCTTAAAGAGACAGAGGCCAATTTCAAGGTGTTTAGAAGAGGAAGTGATGAGAAGATAAGTTTTAATTTCTATTTAAATGTAAAAACAGCATTTTAATAACAGCTWAACGTGAAATAGATACTTTATTATGATATAGTATTTAAATACATGCCTGAGAAACACATAATATTGCCCCCTTAAGAGTTGAACCTATAAGGTACATTTTAGAGGAACTGTATGAAGAAATCAATAAATAATTAATGTTAGASGATGTCAACACAAGTGCAGTCAGTCAACGTTACTGCATTACTTTATTTAAATCTGACATTTTTTTTAAAACCGTAAATCACTTTACGGTTTTACACTTACACTTATCACTTAGTTGCTAATACTGGTTTTTTTGTATTGGATTTTTTTCTATACACAGAACATACTGTCATTTATAAATAAGTTCCTTTCCAGTTTAAGCAAATATCACTTTGTTTAATACAATGCACTGTAAAAACACAGCCCCTCCATCCATCCATCCATCCATTTTCTGTACACGCTTCTTCCTTTTCAGGGTCGCGTGGGTCACTGGTGCCCATATCCAGCAGTCACAGTGCGAGGGGTACACCCTGGACAGGTCGCAAGTCCATCACAGGAAAAACACAGAACACAGCCCCATATACAGTATATTGAGTATAATAAATTACCCAGTACATACTGTATGCAGTTTGGTTTAGTAGTATTTGGCAATAGTTGGCAATCATTCTGTCAGCTCTCCTGTCTTTGAATTACAGYGCTCCCTGCTTTGTGCAGGAGGAGCAGAATCGCCGAAAGCTAAAATATGATACCTTTGCTCGGGAGGAGGAAATGTTCCCGCTTGCTTTGCATAGTGATCTGGTCCTCGACAATTCATTGCCTGCCCTATTTTAAATGAGAGGCCGAAAAGTCAGACTCTGCAGAATACTGCTGGAGCCTTGTAGCTGGAGGGGAGGGCAGCCGATCTGTTTGAACACATTCTCCTTCCCTCGGTGAATGATTCTATCTGCGGCGCGGCACAAGCTCGTAGCTCCTTCCAAACACTGAGAACATCCAGAGCAAAACTGTCCAATGTGTGGCTTTACCTTTTTGTTTTTTCTTGCTTTCAAAAAATCTGCATCRAGGCTCAGCACTGGCCATTCACAGTATTCTTTGCGACGAGCATGTTTGGATGTAATTTGAAGAGGGAGGTGGTGCAAGARCAGATCRTGTTGTTCTTCAGTGCTGCTGTATGCTGCCTAATGGTTGGTGACACGCCTCCTACTGTGTCTCTTCTGTGGCTCCGCTACATCCAGGCTCCTGGTGTGTCACCAAATTACCAACTGACTATAAAGCCTAATGACCCTGATGGGAACAAATTTAGCCCAAACTGCTTTATTTTTCATAATCTGCAAATGGATTTCTTTTTTGTTGTTGTTGACTAAGAACCCTTGTTGTACCAGTTGGAAAAATGTATAAAATTCAAATACTGCTTGTATTGCTAAAGGCTGATTCTGACAGCCAATATTTTCCACACTCCTTCCAGTGGTCCACCTGCGTGGATCTATCTGTGCCAGGGTTTGTTAGCTGACGTGTCAGGCTGAGGGCTATTGTATTATCACCATCTCTCCAGCGTCTGCATTTATCATTCTCCTATCAGCTTACACCACACACACACACACACACACACACACACACACACACACACACACACACACACACAGAGTCACTCAGGGCTTCATCTTCTTTCCTCTACAACTATTATGAGCTCCACCAGGATCTGTGGATGCAATCCAAATTGTATGCAAATGAATCTTAGCATGTGTGCATGCTTAAGGGTTATACTGTATCTGTGTGTGTGTGTTTGTATGTTTGTGTGTGTGAGAGTGTGTTTGATTCAGGGTTGAAAAAATGCTTTAGAAATCAGTCCAGACACTTGTTTTCTAACAGATCATATTGAATGAGGAGCCGTCGGGCGTTTTCTGCGTCTACTGAAGACCCACTTTATAACCTCATGTTACTGTGAGACTAGTGCACATTTATCCCCAAACAACCCCCTTTTATAAATCATCATCAATGCGTGTTTTGTATTTGTGGATACCTTTCAGAACAGTCAAAGACATTTTACTGGGTAAAATAAAATAAATAAGCTCATAAAGAAAAAAAAAAACCAAGTAGTAGCAGATATATACTCAAACATGCACATAAAACAGTTATATCTGTGGATACACAACGGTTTGGAAAAATCCTCAACAGCTTCACATCCATCCTGAAGGCATGCACGTACAGCTGCTGCAGCTTGACTAACATCAGTGGGCGAGCGTTGGAGCTACTTTACATTAAAAAAAACACATGAATGTGAAAGTTGTTTAAGAGAAACGCTCAAGACAAAACCACGCAAAGAAGAAAGTTCTTAAAAATGTGTTTTTGGGTTTGCAGTAAGCTGATTATGTTTCCAATCAATAGTGAATTCATTTCCAATGACATGTTTATTTTTAACTGTTTCTCCTGACTAAAACTAAAAGGCATACTATAATAATACTATAATAAATTCAATTTAATTTAATTATTATTTTTCAGATTTAGGGTTGAATTATTATTTTGTTGTTTTTTACTGAAGTGAAATGTGCAGATTAAAAAAAGGTTTAGTTCAGTGATTTATGGTCTTTTTTAGTAAGTTGTAGTTCTTCTTTTATGCTACCAGGGGGCAGTGTAGAGGTGCAGGAAACCTCCCTTCACCTGCCRAGCATAAAAGTTTTCACCTGCAGGAAACTTTTACACCTGTGTGCTGTTTGTTTGTTTGTTTGTAATCACTTTGCAGTAACAAATCAAACTATTCCTTCCTTTAAGGTCCGAGGAAGACTCTGAGGGCAACAGAGACATCTGCAGTGAGATTCTTCAGATGAAAGCGCTGGAGAGACTAACTTCTACGGTCAGTATGTGCACGTGAATCTGAGATAAACCTTTATGATAAGACAAGCAGCTGAACGTTTGTGTTGGTTTGACAGTGTCTTCTATTTTCTCAACAGGTGCAGAGTGAGTTGGCAGCTGCTCTCGCCCGAAAGACTCGCAAAGCTTGTAAGTATACKGTTTGTTTTTCCCGTTATCTAAGGTTTACAGACAAAAACTGTGTTGTGCAATGAATGAAAAGTCCGCACTGTGTTTTTACTTTGTTGCAGTATCAGAGCAGGACTCTGAGACGACAGAAACGAGCCGCCAGGAGTCAGGCACGCCCAGCGAGGAGAGCAGCCCGGTAATCCACACAGCAACACACAAAGATGGATGCTGAGGMAGTTTGAACTTTTATTAAACTGGTTCAGAACCAGTAAAGCTAAGCCAGGTCAGAAAACAATTCTTAAAACTGAGGATTTTATTCAGAATACATAGAAAACCTAAAATGGAAATGTTAAAAGTGGACAACAGTTCTTATCATTTAGCATATCCAGAGTAAATGTAGCTCCTTTTTCATGTTTCTTATTCTTCTTGCTGCTCTTTTGTGAGAAGGTTGTGATTTAATAAGAGCCAGTGAAACTTTGTTTTTGTGCATATCCAGAGTGTGCATTGGACTAAATACGGCCAACACTAGCCAATTAGGACATAACCCGTGTTGCACGAAAGTTACACCATCTTTAAAAAGAAACAAATGGCTGCTGCTGACTCTTTGGCTTTCTTTTAAAGGTCACTTAAGTTTTCTGCAAGTGGAGGAACACTCACRGCTTAACTTAGAAAACGGGGTCGGCGGAGTGCAGAGAGAGGCCCGTTTGCTCTCTCATGCCATGTCTGTACAGTTAAAACCTCTTTCTGTTCATCAATTATTTATTCTCTCATCACATCAAGGGAATTAGGAAGCGATGAGGAGAAGAAACCTGCTAGTGCTGAAGTTTTAAACATCTTTAATTTTTTTTAGACTTTACTTTCAAGGAGCTGGATTCTCTTTAAGATCTTTTAAAGTGATYAATATGTTTAGAGCCTTTCTGGAGGTCATTTAATGTTTTTTTATTTGATTGTGGCTGCTTTTTAAACCTTTTTATGTCCAGCTTATGTACCTGACCGTGACATTGTTCAATGTGAGCTTAAAAATAAGTGAAAAATGGAAAAGTGGATGGTAAAAAAGAAGTGTCAGTCTTACAAAAAACAGATAGTGTCAAAAAGTCACATCTTTAGGAAATAGGAAAAAATCAGCAGAGGTCATCTGACAGAATCTGAATGTATTATTCTCCATTTAATGCATAACTAGTTTTTACTTAAGCCTTTAAGGAATCAAATATGAGTTTGAATTGTAAATGCAATTTTTTCGTCTGTTATCTTTAGTATTATTTGCAGATTCAGCTAAAGAAATGAGAACACATTATGTATCTGTGACAGACAGCAAAAGATGGCGTAAACCTTCAGTTTGAATTAAGTTATTTGCCAAGTTGTCGACACAAAACTGTTGATGCCTCGAGTTTTTTTGGAGGGTTTGATTAGAAATTGAGTTTAGTGGCTTTTTTATATATATAATTGCTGAAAATACTCAAGAACTGGAAAGAAAATGTGGAGAAAAAGAAGCAAATGTTCAAGGTAAAACTTCAGAAAGCCTGAAGTACYGATAAAGACCACTTTAAATGTTGTCTTATTGAATGCAAAATCTAAAAAGAGTTGAAGGCATATCGATTATAAAAACACAGAGTTTTTGTGACGGAGAAAAATAAAATATCAAAGCATGGGTTCCATTTAAAAAGCCTCTAGAGCCATTAAATATGGACCAGAACAGCTATAAACAAAATCTGTTGCATTTCTCACCCCTATTATATGTTACTGACTAAAATTTGAACTTCTTTTGCAAAAAAGAGCAATTAAAAATTCTAATTTAATATAAATTTCATGTCGACTACCAAAACATTTTCTTATATTTGCACATGAACAAGAGGTGCCCCAGTGACAAATGCAGTGCAAACGCTCCACCAGCAACACATCACATCCTGCTTCACTGGCCACTGATCATCAGATTGATCCTGAAGCCCCTCAGGGGACAGCTGTGATAACCACTGCTGATTGTAGTTTTAGCACGAGTATTAACCGAGTCGATCTTTTACGTCGATAAATAACTAGGACAACAAAGCGTGCAGCTACAAAATGTCAAGGACTACACATTGCAACCCTCTAAATGCAGCTTAAAAGTACTGGAATCTGATTTACTTTGGTCCATTGAAGGTTTCGCCTTTCTAAGATCAAAGAGAAATGAAGGACACRGCCTCAGACAATAAGAATTAGACACAATACAAGTAAGCACAGCCTGCAGACAGGTTTATCTTGCTGTGTTCTACGTCTAAGACAGGAAGCTGAAAACAGGTTACAGGAAGCACCAAGGGACACGGGACTGTGGCTGTGATATAATTTGTGTGTGTACGTGGCCATTCCACAAGATAAGAGTTGTCAGGGGGTGTTTCCCTAGTAAACAAAATGAATAATGTTCTTCATCTGTGTGCGTTAACTCTGCTGAAGCATAGTACCGTGGGATAGTCAGGCTCACAGGAAGGGTTGCCCGACATTCAGCCAAACGAAACAGCCCTCTCTGTCTCTCTTCCAAGGAAAATAAACAGCCCAAGCTGCCTGTCACTGGCGATAACCATCATACAAGCTGCACCCAAGGGAACACACCCTATCTGAGGAAAACAAACAGCATTAGTTTCTCTGCTATCTTTCAAATCTTTTGATTAAAAAGTATATTTAAGTATTTCTTCCTTATTTGAAGACAACTATGTTTGATATTCCTGTTCTTCAACTTGTTATGCACCTCAGTGGGACTTCCAGGACAGTGACACATTTCTGTCCTGACAACAGAAGGAGGAAACACACACACTCCGCACACAGACACCCTCTCCTCCCACTTACGACTAATCACACACACACACTCACTCTGTCTCTGCCAGATCCGCTGACACAGAGCAGCCAGACTGACACAAAGAGAAGTGCAACAGATGAAAAGGAATTACCGACTCGAATAGATGGAAAAAATTAGAGGCAAGAGTATCAAGAGAGAGATGGGATTACCGTTTAATCTCATTTTTCTGACACGGACATAAAGAGGCAATTGCAAACTTTTCATTGCATCACATCTGGACTTTACCTGAACTGCTTCCCTGTTCCAAACTAATTGATCTGCAGCTCTCTGAGCAAACTTTATTTTCCAAGTGTTCCTAGCATGTCTTGGGACTGCGGTTTGAGGTATATCTTTGTGCCCCCTGTGTTCCAGCTGGGCGGGGTGTGTGCTTTGCGAGACGGCGGCGGCAGCGGCGGCGGAGGGATGGGGAACGTGTGCGGCCGCGAGGAGCTCACCAGCCGGCTCGGACTGGAGGCCGTCCAGCGGCTGGCGAAAGACGGCTGCCGGCTGCTGCAGAACCACAACTACCGTCTGCCTGACAGGAACCAAGCGGTCAGTACAGAGCGGGTTCAGTGTCATGAAATGTCAMTCTTACTCTGCAGAGGTCCTTCAGGACCGGCGAGGTTCTGTCAAACCTATAATCTGCAGAAAGTGTTGTGGCTGTATGGTTAGCGTGAGTGGGAAGTAACGGACGTCATGTGGTCAGTGCTGTCATTACTGGCATCACTTTAAGGCTCGCAGTTAGTCATGCATCACCATCATCATAAAAAGTGGTTTTCTTAATCTGTAAAATAAAAAAGTGTCAAAGAATCATAGCCCTCAAGTTCGAGCTAAAAGCAACGAGCGAGAACTGTTGCTGCAGATGCACAGATCTCAACTTTGTTTGGATCACTCGAAACACCCCTCTTCTGGTGCAGTTCATCTAATGTGGGTGTTAATAATGACTCGCTGCAACGTGATCTGATGCTCATTTTACAAGCTGTCAAGAACCTTGTGTGTTCATTGGTGTGTGTGTGTCTCTTTGCTGTCTAGAGCTTGTAATCATTTGTAAGAGCTCGTGTGTTCATACACTGCCGGCGTTGTGGCAGGCTGAGTCAGTGTGTGCTCATAATGAGCGGGGTGTTAGCGGAGCGTCGTGCCGTATAATCCCACTCTACTCTGCACCTAACGGGCAGAAAGCAAAGCTAGAGCGGGCTGGTTTCAGCCTACGTCACAGCGTGCTTGTTTGGCAGATTTGTAGATTTATGAGCTCGGCAAGTTTGTCTGAAGACCAGCTGCGAGGATTTTTTTTTTGTGCGCATAATTTCACTTTTGTTTCAAAACACGATCGAGTAAATGTGTTGTAATGTTTACTGGAAATATAGAAGCCACATTTTTTTTTCTGACAGAATAATTAAATTTACATGGAAGCATATCTATCATTATCAAGATTTGATAGTGCGTTTTAAAGTGCATGATTCATGAGTGAGTGAGAAGATATTTAAAAGCAGTTCATTAAATAAATGGGCTTAAAATTAGTCGTCTTAAAGCTTCTAAATGAATGCTGTAAGTAAATGTACATAATGGTGCTGCATACAACATGAACGTATGTTTAGCAGTGTTTTACAGCATAATAAGCTTTAAAGAAACTTGAGGCAAAAAAAATTAAATACCAGGTGGTTTATGCTAATATATGTTTATTTGTCATAAATCTGTTTTCAGTTTGTTCTTTGAGAAATATTTGGCGGTAAAGAATCAAGCTAACTAATAAAATTCATTTTTATGTCTTTTTTTTACATTTAAGCATTCATATTGAATAAAGAGTGATTAAAGAGCTGTGAAGCTTTAAGCTTAATGTGCTTAATTGATGATTTGGATATGGTTTTATTTGATTATTTTAATAAATGAACAAAAAGTGAAAGCTTAACTACACATCAGGTGATGAGATGCTTCATCCTTCATTCAGTGTTTCAGTGTAAACGGTAAAACAAAAACAAAGTTGACCAAGAGGCACGTCTCAATGATATCCTTTAAAATAAAACAACTTTTAAATGCTCTTTTCCTTATAATGATAATTTAATCTAAAAATAAACATTAAGTGTTGTTTTAGAGTTTAATCGATTTATTGGTGACCTTTGAGTGCCATAAAATAGCTTTAATATTTAATAGCTTTTATAAAATACATTAGAATAAAACAGTAAGTGTGAAGTTCAGCTGCAGAATTAGAGGAGAAAAATCCAAACTACGTAACCAGAACTATTTGAAGCAGAGTCTTTTTGACTTGGTTGTCATGGTGATTTATTTTTTTAAGTATCCTTTTTTTTTCATGACGGATAAGCTCTGACAGACTGATTTGAGCTGTTTCCATAGTGAAATAAGTCCTGTTGGCAGAGTGTGTCGAGTGGCGCTCTGCTTCTTGACTTGAGTTCTTTATCTTTTTTTTTGTCCCACAAAGAGAATTATACAAGGTCACAGCTCTCCTGCACGCAGGTATGCTTTGTGCAGCAGCGGTGTTACTTTCCAGTTCTTGTGGGAATGAACTGAGAGTGTTTGTTTTATTTGTCTGTGCTGCTGATCTGAAAGGAACTGTGTCGTTTTCTTATCCGTAATTTCCTGGACAGAAGCCGAGTGCTAACACAGCACAGATATGACTCGGTCACTGTTGACTCAAACACAAACACTAGTAAAGTCAGGAAAAGAGGGAAAAAAGAGGACTTCCTTTAGGCTTTCCATGAGGCCCACCTTTCCTTTAAAACATTTATGTAATACTGCATGTGTGTGAAATGAAAGGAACTGTATGAATGGCAGCAAAAGACATGTTAAATGCATCATGGGTTCTCAAAATCAGATGATCATTGTGCTATTCCAAAGAATGCAAGGCCTTTTTAGTTTTTGTACAACTTTTATTCTTATGCAATTTGCTCAGATAAAATAATTGCATGTTTTTTTGTGTCATCCTGGTGGTTGGGAATAGTGTACGCAGGTTCTCCGTATTCCAATGAGATGTCCAAACTTTCCTTGCTTTTGGACTGTAAACTGTCCAACGTCCATTTTTTGTTTTAAAAAAGATACAGAACAAGTTTTTTGAAACCTTTTACAAGTTTATGCACACACTCCTCCGTCTATTCTCAAAATACATCTCAATCTTTTGCCTTTTTTATCTATAGTTTGTATTGCATAACTCTCTGTTCCATCTTGTTCCCTACATTTCAGTGCCCACTTTGTATGTTTTTCCTTTTTATATAACCTGGGTTTCTTCCAAGGCTAAGTTTATCTTGTAGAAGTTTGGAGATATCAGCTTATTTAAAGATGATTTGTGTAAATATGTCTGTGTTTGAATGGAATTTGTGTTACTTCTGAGAGGGTTTCTGGTATATTCTCCTTGAATTTGTAAATATGTATTTAACACTTCCTTCTCCCATTCTTGGCTTTGAGTTGTTTATTTTGTCGTCTATGCAAACGARCACGACACATTCTTTTTCACTTTTGTTTTCACAGCACTTGTTCTTAGTTATATAAGGTTTTTTCTAAAGTATTTCTGGGTTGCTTTTCCTTTATTAGATATCTGATCCTGTCAGGCTACAGGAAAGTTTGACACTGATAGAAGAGGAAGACTTGTGATAAAGTTGGGTGGTATTTGAACTGTTGATGTGGTCTAATTGCATGTTCCCCTCAGCCCACTTAGTTAGTAAATGTATTATCTTGACATCAAATCTAGACTGCAGGATGTGGTGTTGGTACCAGTCCAGATATAATTAATCGAACATGTGTCACATCTCTTTAAATTAGCTGTCACATCTGTACCGTCTTTATCTCACTGTTCCAACATGGTGTTGATAATTATAGAGGAAGTTTAGTCAGAGATGACAGTAAAAGATTAATAGTTTGTGCAATAAAAACAATCAGACCTGAGTTACATTAAACAGAAATCATGGCTGACACTCCTGTTCATTTGTCTGATTTTTAGGAAGTTCTTGCAGTATTTCTAATGTCCAAAAATGCATCTTTTTAAAGTTCGTAATTATTCCTGCTGTAGCCACAACCATCCTGCAGAACAATTCAATTCAGACCTAATGACCTCCAGCCAGTTTAGGCTCTATAGCATACTGTGGCATGTGCAACACATAGATTCTATACCACTATCAAGTAACTATGTTACTTTCAGTTGTTATGACAATGCTGTATACACCTTGAAATTGGCCTCTGGCTCTTTAAGAAACTCCTACCATTTCTGACACTCCCACTTCAGCACGTCTTCACAACATTGCTTCAGGGGAGGGTTCTCTGTGGGGTTGGAGCTCAGCTAGGGACTGAGCTCCAGGGAGGAGCTTTGTGTAAAGAGGTGGTGCTTTGTACCAGCAAGAGTTTAGGCACCTCCAAATGAGATTCAAGGATTTCTCAAACATGAAGAAGTCAAAGTTACTGTCTAGGTATATTTTTATTAAGGAAATGGCATTATAACATGAAATAATGCTCAAAATAGTCAACTTAACACAATTCCCATCATTTAAAGTTTTATGTTAATCGTACTGTAAAAGGATTAAACAAGTGCTTGACAGGTTAGACTCTAGTCTGCAGTAATGTAGTTGTTGCTCCAGCCTGATGTGGTGAAAAGGTGTAGCCACAAAGCAAAGCTTGTGATTTATTTGTCCCGCTACTTTTGTGTGGAACCAGAAGGAGTCAGCTGGTGTGGTTCAGCCATCTGATGAGGATGCCGTCTGCAAAGAGGACACTCTGGAGCACAACTATACCTTGCTGGAGGAGTTTAGTCCTCTCTGGCCTGGGAGCTCCTTGGGATACCTGAGGAGGAGCTAGCTTTTCCTCTTGGGGCTGATACCACATGGATGGATGGATAGATTGATGTATGATTACCAGTATAAAATTGAAAAATTATCTTTACTTTCTGTTTCAAATTGTACGTAATTAACAAATTCTTATATCTAAATTTTGTGTTTGATGTAGGGCTGCACAATATTAGAAAATCTTGCGATGGCGATAATATTTGAAAAATATTGTGATGACGATATCAGGTGCAATATGTCTTATCTGTACTTCGTACTCTGTGTGACTTTTAGCATTTTTGGCAATATGTGTCCGATGTGAGCTTTTGTTGCAGCAAGACTCTGTCCTGGCTAAATATTGCATTAGCATGAAAAATACAACTTCAAAACTCTTCAAATACATTAGTTAACAATTATTGCACTCAAGATATGAATATTTTGCATACTGATAATGGGACGACAATATTCGTGATATATTGTGCAGCCCTAGTTTGATGTTTTCTTATTCTTACGTAAAAGACTCCAAATTTAAAGTGAAAGACTGGACACAACACATTCAAAACGATGAGTGGGTGTAGCAAACATCTTGACAAATATCAGTTCCAAATACAGTTTACATAATTATAATTTCCACTGACCTTACAAAAACCTATCAGATTATTTTATTAGCATTTTTTGGCATTTCCTAAAATAAAATCTGAATATTTATGATTTGGCTTCTGTTGTGCGGAGTATGATTGTAAGGTCTAAAAATGTTTAATAAAAAACACAGTGTCAGGATCACATCTGGCTGGATGATCAGGTGGCTGCTGAACATCTGTATAATAATCCAGAAGAATGAGTTGTTGCAGCTTGTTTGCAGACATAAAGAGCTCTGGGAGCCAATTGTTTTGTCTAACGCAAGTTATCTCCCACCTGCTGTCTCTGAGGATCAGGCAGTCTCTTTTGATCTGACAGTTACAGAGAAAAAGTGTGTGTGTGTGTGTGTGTTTGCTGCCGTGTGAGTGTCTGTGCCTTTGTTGACATATTTGAGTGTTATTGAGGCATCTGGTATTGTGATTACACATTTCAGGTTTGAACCTTGGCGCTTGGCACAATTTCTTTATTTTTTTTCTCTCTCCAAGTCCCACCACTTTGATAAAAAGCACTGAGGTTAATAAGTGACCAAAATTCAACAGAAAGACGACGCTGCTCGAGCTCAACGTATGGGTTTTGATTGCTGCTCAGTCGCTCTGGCTGCGACACAGACTGCAGTGAGCATCTGGAGGAGAGACAACCTCCTTCATCTCTGCTCCCACTCCTCCGCCTTTGATCCAGCTCCTTCTTTCTTGTCTCTTTTTCCTCTCCTCTCCTCTCCTCAGGCTGCTGCTTATTGTGCGTCTAAAGGGAGCCCTGCTCCCTTTACACTGCACTATCACAGTAAATGTGTGTGTGTGTGTGTGTGTGTGTGTGTGTGTGTGTGTGTGTGTTAAGTGTCGTGCTTCATGTTGCTGCTCATTTTTAAGCCAACCGATCATTGCAGGTGTCGGCCACATTCCTTGCTGTGCCCTTTGTAATTTAATACACCTCATCAAAAGTAATTCTACCTTTAGAATTGAGCAAGAAGCAGCTGTGTTTACACGCATGCATTTACTGTATTGGTATGTGGTTATTATACCTTCATGACCAACTAAACAAGATAAAGAAATGGTTTTATTTAGTTAAAATAGTTTAAGATGCAATTTAAATAGTTTAGTGCTCTCTGGTGGATGGAGAATGTAATGGCAGCATCACTTTATTTTAGGTTTTTTTTTAGTAGATTTCTTCCTGAAATACATTAGATGTCTAGAAATTATTTAAGGAAATAAAGTGATCAAAAGTCTGGATTCACACCATAAAAAGTGTTCTTGTGTTTAATATGGTAGCATGGTTTTCATTACCAGTTTTTGCCTGGTTCTGCTTAAAATTAAACATTTAGTTTCTTTTAATGGCCTTCCAGCTGTCTTGTCCTTGCTTCACTTTGTGACACGTCTTTTTTTCATTTCAGGAGGCATTGGGGAGGGTTTGTCTGAAGGAGAGAGGACGAGATGTATTGGTATTGCAGAGGGTAACGTCATCCGTGACGTCACCGTCAGACCGGCCCTCGCCTACCTCGTCAGGGGGCGGGTCCAGAGAGGAGGATTGCAATAAGAGGTCAGTTCACTTCCCTATATAATTAGAACCCTTTTATACAGACAGTTGGGAGCAACAATAACATAATTATGGTTCTCATCCTCCTCCTCTTCATTTTTTTTCAATCACAAGTTGCAACTACACACTTGTGTGCAAATGCAAACCGTCTGTGTTGATGTTCACACTGTATTTGTGTGTGAGATAATGTATGCTTTAGCTTCTGGCAGAGGGCAGGAAAGAAAGAATGGCTTTTTGTTTTAACTCWAAGTGGGAAAAGACGACACCGAAACGCTTTTAAACACATAATTCAGTCTGCTTATGGTCATAGCACTGTATGTGTTGGAAGTTGATTTCTTTGTGCAATGTTTGCCAAGACCTGAGGCACAAAGAAGGGAGTGTCAGTGACAGGCAGGTTTCACGTCTCTGTGTGTATATATACAATTCAAGGCAATCCTCAGTAGCAATCAGTTCYCTTGCAGGGCTACTGTAGAAGCTGTCAGAGAGAGGATTTTAATCTTAAGGGCTTGTGGCTGACAGCAGCAGAYAACAAGACATTGTATCCCATGGAGGATCACCCTTCCTGGGTATGCAAAACTTTGTGGAGGACGGATTGCTGGCACACAGAACGACATGAGGATGACCTCTGAGCTAGCTACTCTTGCAGAGGCAGAGGAGGATATAGACGATGAGGATGACAGTGAGGAAGATCCTGCCGATTCAGACACCTGCACTTTCGAYGTTCCCCATTTTCCCTACATTGATGATGACGATGTGGAGGAGGAAGAGAGCGAGAACCATTGGGGAGACGGACGTGGATGCGCTTGGTACTCTCGGTCTCGTGCTGAAGACTGTCGCAATCCTTCCTCTTTCAGGTACGTGGTGGTGTCGGGTACGCCGCTCAAGATCTTGGAGCATCTCCTCAGCGATCTGCGACTGGACGACCAAAGAGGGGCACCGGAGAACCGAGAGAGCGGTGAGTCCCAACATCCACACAAGAACAGGCGTGTGTTAAAGTCTCTGTGTGTAGAAACTCTTTTGTTTCACTGTAGAGTACACACAGTTCGGATGCAAAAAAATTAGACACAGATGCAAAGTGTTAAAATAAAACCAAAGATTTGCACAGCTGTCTTTTAAAGGCAGCGTAACACTTCCTGACACTTAAACTGCTCTGATCACATACCTCCACTTTACAAAAGAACAAAATGATGCATACCACACTCCTATTAAGGAATTACCTCTTCTATACCACACAAGTCAGGACACGGGCCAGTTTTCAGTTTTACTTTAACACAAAGTTAAATCTCACACAGGAGGTATGTACTCCCCCCACCCACCCCGTGACTTCTGTGTGTGTGTGTGTGTGTGTGTGTGTGTGTGTGTGTGTGTGTGTGTGTGTGTGTGTGTGTGTGTGTGTTGGTCGTCTCACTCCATCCAGGTGCTTTTATTCAGCTGCCAGTCATTTAGGAGGATCATTGAGGTTAAATGTTCTAAGGAGATTGTGAAATGAATGCCTCAGGGTGCTTTAAGTGTTTCTTCCTCTGAACAGTCCGGTTTCATTTTCACAATCCTTAAAAAAAGAAGGTTCTATGGAAACATTTAAACTATTAGTATCTTACCTGTTGTGGACGTCTTTTTGAATGACCTTTGTTTGAAGACACTGAATGTTTTTGACCAGATTGGTGAGGTAATTAACGAATAGTTAATTTATTTGGAGATACAGTTGTACACCATTATAAATAATTTTTAAATACTTTATGTAAGCCCATTATCATTTTATTGAACTTGATCTATTCTTATTTGATATATTTTCTATGTATTTTCTAAACACTCGTGGGTCACTTCAATTAATTTAAGGTGTTTTAAAATAGTGTCTCTGCAGTAATGTTTGTATAATTTGATATTCTGAAAAAAGGTATTAGCCTGAAGCACCACTTTATTGAATTTCTTCAAATCTGTTAAATACTCGTATCTTAATATTTTTTCATATTCACAAATTTTTGGGGGGATTCAGCACCCATTCTAGTGGACTTTCAATGTGAATATTTTATGTTTTTACTACTGCAAAGCTTTCTAAAACATGGTTTGCTCATTGTTTTAAAATGCCATGGATCCACTTTGGTCTTTGCCCAACTCTGACTAGCCATTAGCTCATCAGCTATTTTAATGGCTATCTACAACAGGAAAGTTAACTGCTCATGAGGTTTTCACTGAACTTCAATTTAAAATATCTTAAGCTCAAGGATATCAATTTTGACATATTTTGTAGAAGCAAATTTATACATATACATTCATAGAACGAGGCTTTTGACAACAGGTAAGATTAAATGCAATAAAAGTAGAAATTAAAGCAAAAATGGGTATTCTATTTTTTTTCTAATTCAGCTCATCATCATCATGAAGCTAAGGCTCACCTGAATTGTATGTTTATTTTAATGGGACATCACGGTTTCTTGTTGGTTTTTACCAAACCCTGCTCTTGCYTCTCAGCACCGTTTTTTTAAGACAAGGCACCTTTTATGCGTCAGCTCCGGCCTCAGCACCACCAGCTCCCAGCGGTCCACAGGGAGCCATCTCACTGAGCTGCAGGAAGCAAAGGAAGAAAGAGGGAGAGATAAATGTGGGAGAGAACTGAGATGGGCTTTGTCGAGGAAGTCCGTCCGATATTTATTCACTGAGGAGAGTTAAAGCTGTGAGGAAAGGCAGGCAGGAGAATAGATGCTGTGTGTGTGTGTGTGTGTGTGTGTGTGTGTGTGTGTGTGTGTGTGTGTGTGTGTGTGT